ACCATATACGAACTCATGGCCATTAATTTCAGAAGGTAGAAAATACTAATTTTTCTCGTGTTGTCTTTTTTTCTCCTTCCATTGGGCCCTCCTACTTGCTGTCAACTGAATAAAGTTGGGCGGCCATGTGACCAGGCCAGCCAATAGGAAGGGAGCGAGTTTATCACCGGGTTTGTGAGCATCTCATAATTTTCGCAAATTTAACTAAATAACATACGTGTAATCAAGTGACTTGCCATGCCACATTTGAGAGTCCCTGACAGATGTTAATAAAGTTCCAATTCTATCCCCAGCACCCCTAGTCTCAGCAGATAATCTCAGCTTTTGTCTTTCACTGACTTTGCTAACCTCCTTTGCCCTCCTCACTCACCATCGCCTGAAGCAGCCCCCAAAGTGGGCACAATTCAAGGAAGAGTGGATTCTCCTATTGGGGTGCAAAATAAGGAAAAAAGAGTGTGGGCAATTTGGCCTCTAAGTTGGATAGAGGGTGTTCTAGGCACGCAGCCTGCTGCGGGGCTAGCTGGCGGGAGCCCTGGACTCTGACATACAAAGACCTGTCCTGGCTTTGTCTTCATCAGGGTCACCCAAAAGTTACCAGAATCTGGCGGACCTGAATTGAGTTAGGCAATGAGTAACCACTATAGTTTTCTGACAATGTCCAGGCTGGGGTGTTTCTAGTTGAAGTTGGGTCTTCCTGAAATGTCAGGAGGCCCTCACTGTCCTGGGTCTGGTAGCTGTGCATTGGGTCAGGTTGGATGGTGGGGAGGGGACCTTAACCTTGCCTAAATGTACCCCAGAGGTCTCCAATGGCCTTCTTTCTTGTCTTCTCACACCAGGGCCTTAAAACCAGGTGAGCCTCATTTGCATCTCATGCTCCAGAGGGGAGAGCTGCTTGATCAAGGTTTTTCACCTCACTTCCCAGTACCCTGAAACCTGGCCCTTTGGCCTTACATTAAGACAGCCACTTAAACACCTCCTGGAACCTCTATTGATAAAGGTGAGAGTTTCTCCAGGAAAAGGCTGCACAATGTCACCAGCCAAAATCGGTCATCCTAGGGTCCAAGGTAATGAAAAAGAAAGGTGGCTGGCCGGCTTAGCTCCTACTATTCTCAGCGCCTCAGTCTCTGGCTATGTCGGAGACATGAAGTTTTTGCATCGACCATATATTCCCCTAGAATCGAATCTGTGACTATGTGGGTACCACACAAATTCGGTTCTACAGGGTATATATAGACAACGTTACAACCTCGGGTCCTACCCAGAGCAGACACTCAGGCAGCTGCCAGCCCAGATCTCTTCAGCTCAGCCACCAGGAACTCCCCAAGCCCGGCTTTCACAGACAGTTCAGGTAGGCTCGGTGACAATTCTCAGCAACAGTCCCCTTATTCTCTGGCCAGGATCAGGGCCACGGAGCAACCAGGACCTTCTTCTTTAAAAAGAAAAGAAGGGGGAAATTTTTTTCACCCCAGAGATGGCGGCTTTATTGCCCCCTTTCAGAATCCAGATCTCCCGCCCCCTTATCAAGTGGTATTTCCCAGAAAGAAGCAAAGGCCCTCAGCGGTAGGGAGTTTTGGAAAAGGCTAAAAGGGATATTCTTCACCAATTCCTGAGCCAGGTTGGTGGCCACAGCTAGTTCTCCCAGAATTCAAGCATTTACCTTTCTGGGCCCTCAGCCCCGCTGGACTTTCTCGGATCCGCTGCTGCCTGCCGCTGCTGCTGATGCTGCAGACCCCGAAGCAGGCGCTGTTTGCGGCCACCGAGCCACCCTGGGCTGAGACCGTGGCGCTAATGGTGAAGGGCAGGGCGAGGGGTCATTCGAAATCATTTACAAACATATCACAAAGTTTCATTATTTTTGCTTTGCCGACAGCAGCACAGAAGAGTACAAAAGTTCATGAATTTCACCGCCCCAGCGCCTCCGCTGTCCGGGGCTTGCCCCTCAATTCAGGGCATCAAGAGCCCAGATGCACTCTGGGGCTGGTCTGATTTCAGGGGCAGAAGGATGCCCTGGCCTGAGCTGAATTTTTGGATGCCTGATAACAGGCTGAAGATGTTCACATTTCTAAGAATTGTTTTGATTCCTTCTCCCATAATTCAAAAAAAATCACTCTCAAGCTTCATCCCTTAGTTTGATGGGGTGGGGCAGGGAGACTCCCCTCACCCAAACTGGCAAAATTGGGTGCTCACTTTTACTCTGTACTTTGGTTTTCTACCCCCCTCCTTTCACTGACTTGCACTGTTTTGACTATTTTGAAGGGATTTCCCTTCCCAAGTGCCAATTGTAAAAGGGTTAAAATCTGTTTGTTTAAAGCTCTCCCCCCCCCAACCAGTTTGTGTACAGCTTTCCTGGGGATACTGGGCCTACCTAGGCTTTATCGAGACAAATTGGGGAAGCCTGATGGGTTGAGTGGGGACCAAGATGAGTATACACATTTTCATATTTGTTAGACATTGTGACCTGCATTTCACCTTATTGCTCGACTTGTTCAGACAGGTCAAAGCCAACAAGTTATTGATGGACAAAAGCGTTAAATATTCACCTCCCGCTCAACTGCCCATACAAATGCTTTTGATCTCTCCCGCTTTTTGTGCTGTATGCAGCCACAAGGCGCCAGATTCGGGTTTGCAAGCAAGCAGCCTTGGTAGAGCTAAGTGCCCACCGCCAAGAGTGTCAGGAAAGGGGGGGGGGGTTGACCAGGGGAAGTCAGGGAATTCCAGATTTTTATGATGGAGCCTAGAGCCAGGTTCACTTTATGCAGGTCTGTTTCATAGAGGAGACTACAAACTGAGGGATCTCAGCCTCACCATGGGCCCAGCAAAGAAATCTGGCCCTGGGCCCAGCCCCAGCTTCTCTGACCCTGAAGGGAAGACAGCTCACAAGAAGGGAAGGATGCCTGGTCCCTGTCGCCCTTGCGAACCCACTCTTCCATTAAAATAAAACCACTTGGGGTTTGCAGTGAGTAACAAGCCCCTGATAGTTTCTTAACTCTCCTCATTTGCCACCACCCTAATGAGGAGGTCCTCCTGAAGGTTTCACCAGCACTCTTAGATTGAAACTTCAGAACCAAAGAACTGGAGTCCCTATCCCGACCCCACCCAATTTCACTGGACTCTGAAGCAGAAATTCTTCAACTGCAGCTAAGGAGAAGCAGAGGTGAAAGAGAAAGCAAATGCTCTTCTTATTCAGCTGTTAACCCAAACCCAGAACTCACCCAGGTGGAACTGGGAACCGGAAATAGACAGGAGAGGAATGTCCACATAAGCTCATAACCTGCAGCCCTTCCTGGAATCAGGCCAATTCAACACAACCAAGGCCACCAAGGGTTGCATGTTTGTTTCTGTTTGAAATAAATCAATCCATTTTAAAATGAAGATATATATATATATATATATATATATATATATATAGAGAGAGAG